GCAGAACTGCCCCTCTGAGACCAGGATGCTCATCCAGTATTCCTTGGCAAAATGTCATGCAAAGGTGAGGACTTTGATCTCTTAAAATACTGCCTGTGACTCAGATAAGTTTATAGCCAACACAGGCTAGAAAGTACGGAGAGAAACAGGGGCAAACATGAAAGGCAGACAAAAGAATAATCATTAATGTGGAAGCAGGACTAAACCCTGCCTGATACTTGTTAGCCCACAGTTCCTGCTTTTTTTATTTTTGCCAGCAGTTGCTGACTTTTTTTCATGTTACTCTATAATAATACCATTGGGATGGTCCACTCCTGGGCTGCTTTGCACTATATTCATAAACTGGAATGGGAACTTACATCACTTCTTTGCTTTATTAATTTCTAAGTCCTTTTCCTCGTAAGACGAGTGGAGTGGCACTTTTGATGTGATAATGGTGAAACCGTGTAGCTGGTACTTGACTGAGGAGTTGTGGCACTTGATTGCACATTAATGTAGTTTGCCTACCTTGAATATTCCTATTGAAGAAGAGGTAGTACTGATAGTGCTTTTTGTAATTTTGGTTCATGTATATTTGCCTTGGTTCTCTAACTTACCATTCCGTGAGCTTTCTTTTTGCCTTGTGTTTCTAAAGGCAGAAAAATAGCACTTGGAACTTCATTATTCTGTTCAGAGACGTGTCAACCTGTGATGTGAGTGGGGTGCTGTGTTCCCGTGGCCCTGTCAGACAGAGGTGTGTACACAGGAAATGTTGCAGAAGGCTTGTACAATGAAGGTGTTTGCTCCTCAGACACCATGAAAAGTAAAGCAGCCCTTGTCTGTGTATGGCAGCAGTCACCTGGCTCATGGGCATCCAGGCTGAGCAGGAGCAACAAACCCCTGCTGCTGCCAATGCCCACCCAAGTAACACTGAGAATGAAACAGAGCTGAGAGGGCTGTGTTTGGATAATTTGGAACAGGAGGGAGAAGCTAGAGGGGCATTTTCCACAAACCTGTAGGAGGCGAGGCTCTAAGAGTTGTGGTCTGCGGTGCAGTGTTTGTCTCCATCGTGGATGTTAAAGAATTTTTAGGATGAAGTTATGTAAGGTTTTGGACAGACTTTGGACTTCTTGCTGTGGATTCTGAAGGCCAGCAGTTTCAGGCTTAAAAACTCTACACTGTGTGGGTTTTCTCTGTTTGTCTGCAGAAACCCTAAGTTCTTTCAAAATATGTGTCCGCTCTGTGTTGGTAAGTCACAGGTAATAACCAGCAATGGTTACATTCTGCATGGGAGGTATTTCCTGTCAGAGTGGGTCTGGCCTTAGTGAGGAACTGAGATGTCATGTTCTTCTGCACATGGTGATTCTTCACTTTAACTACCAGAGCTTTTCCTTCTGTCATGTGGTGTTCTCCCTCTTACTGTGCCACCACGAAGGGAGGGATACTTTCACGGAGGAATGTGTTGTCAGCAGCAAAGAATAATTTTGCAGCAAGAAGACATTGTAGGGCTTTTCTACATAGGAATTGTTGAGGAGAAAAAGTAATGTGGATTTAAAGCCACATCACCCTTTGGAGATGACTTGGAGCAGATGAGATCATCAGATTTTCAAAAATTAGGTTGCCCTCCAGCTTTTCAGCTGCTTGTCATGGGTTCAGAAGAAATTACTCTAATCTTGAACTGTAACCATCTCTTTATCAAAAGCTTCTGCCAGAGCAAGGTCATTCATTGTTCTTCTTTAATTTCTGTCTTTCCTCTGGGCACAGTTTTAATGTTTCTGTATTCGAAAGGTCAGAAATTACTGTCTTACTCATTATTTTGTTCAGCAATGAATGCTTCAGCTGATACTTGTCTAGAATGATCAGGCTAGTTGAGAATTGCTGATGAGCTGACTAAAAATGTTGAAAGCTCCTCTTCCTAGAATTGAAGTATTGCTTTTCTTTTTTCATTTGTACTTCATAATGGGTAAATTATGAGGTCTAAAAGAGTTTCTTAAATTATTTTTGTGTTCATTTTCACTATTCACAAATTAAACTTTAAATTCATCTCCCCCTTCCTTGCTAGTCTTACTAGAGATTCTGCATCCTTCTTGGATGTAATTTACTATGAAAACAAGCATCTCAAAAACTGGTCAAGACATGGCAGCACTTCTGTTAATATTAACTTCAAGTTAATTTCAAAATCTTTTAGTGAAATAGCTTTAACTGGCTGATTCAAATCCCTTCTACATAGCAGGGAACGTGAAAGTTTACAGGTTATTAGGGTATTACCTTTTAATAAATTTCCTTATACCACAGTTTTCTAATTTCAGCAGACTATAAAATTTTAACAAATAGGAAAAACCTCAACTAGCAAAACTCTGAGTATCTCATCACCAGTGACTGGGAGCTGGTGCCTTGTCTCCCTGTACTTGGTATTCATCTTGGTTAATACAGATCAGTGCAGGGAATTTGATAGGGAACTGTTAATATCTATATAAAGCAAATTAAAATGTTTTATGAACAGGAACTGTACACTAAATGACACGTATTTGGGTTATAAAACAAATGAAAAATGAAGGGTTTTGTTTGCCACAGTGCATATAATGTAGTCATTTTCTCTTTTATACAGTTGTTATATAACATTTCTATTTGATTTGTTACTGTTTTGTGTTGTTCGCCAATCTGCACAAGTATGTTACTGTTAAGTGCAAGCATTTAGAATTCTTAAGGAAGAAATCTTCAGATTCATTAACACAACTCTTACTTAAAAGAAAACTTAATTACAAAATAAAGTCTAGAGTTTCCTTCAACATGTTTTTAAAATCACTTCTAGAAAATACTTCTGACCTTCAGAATTGTCTGAATTTTGGGGGGTGTTTTGTGGGCTTCGTTTTGTTTCCACAATGAAATTAATAAGATTTATTGTACCTCTTACCCAGAATACAAGGCAGGCGCCCACTAGGAAGGAGAGTTTTGTGTCAGCAGTGACTCAGTGAACTTGAGTATAGAACAATACTATCTGATAATATCAAAACACATCTCCATCTTCGTATGGTTTGCTGATTGCACAAATCAATTGAAAGTGTTTCTATCTTTGTGATAGCCTTATTTGCTGCACCCACTAGGATGTCAAAGGCTGATTGTTAGGGGTTTTTTATTGAAAAAACCCTGTAGTGTTTCTGCATGTGCCTGCAATCACTTATTTTTCTATTCAGTTTTCTGTAGCTGGTTTCACCTCGTGCAAAAATGAAAAGTGTTGTGTTTTCCTTCTTGAAACTAAATGCCTTGAGAATTTAATTTCTTGATCTACTTCAAAAATATGCTTATTATTTCACAAGACAAAAGCAAGGATGTTATCACTTAGTCCTGGCACATAATTGTCTGAGTGAGTCTGTGTAGGGGGATACACCACACATCATGACCTGTAACTCTCATTTCTCAGTAATTTCAAGCTGTTCTTGAGAGTACTGTATCCACACATCCCTAGCAACGTGGTCACTCAGCTTTTTAAAACCTCTTTTCCCATGTGATCTTAGTCATTGCCTTCTTTCCCAGATGAGTTATTTTGCTTTTCATTGTTGTTGATCTAGAAGTTGTTCTCAAATAATAACAGTTAACTGGGGTTTGTTGTTTTTTTTTTTCCAAATTTCTTCTGATATTTAATAATTTTAATGGAAGATTGAAAGAGAATTATTTAAAAAAATATTTATCTACCTCCTGCCACTAAAGTAGCTGTTTGTCATGTAGAATACAAAGAAGAGCTGATGAGAAGAATTGCTTTCAGGGAATAACTTGGGGCTTTGTTTTAGTTGAGTAATAATTTTCACTTAGATCTGGGTGTGACTCCAGCTGCTCAGCTGTTGTACAGAGCAGAGCAGTATTATCTGATGGTGCTTGCATCAGAATTCAGAGGTCCTCAGGCTGCTTTTTTTGTACCTATGGTTCTCCAGTTTTGCGAGTTATTTGTGAAGCAGTCTTCTGAGAAAACACACTTCCTGTGGGTACGTTCTTCCCAAGAGCATGGGGAGGAGATGCTGGGAGCAGAGCAAGGACTGTTCAGGAGGTACCTAAGTAGGGTTTTAAGAAAGGAGAGACATGAATGAGGGCTTTTTATGGAGGAAGGGGTTTGTTTGTTTTGTCAGGAACCACTGTGCTGAGTACAGTTCCTCAATGAAGGCTTGAGATGAAGCAGTTTTATTTGGAGAGTGTGTGGGACTGTTACTAGCAATGCCTTTTGGCTTCTCTGAAGAGTTCATGATCCATCTTCTGTTGCAGAATTTGTGCCACTTCTATGTTCAAACAGGTCTCAAACCATGGGGGTTTAAGCTGTAGTTGTAATGTGACCTATGAATGTTCTCAGCAAGCAGCAGCAGCCCAGCTCTAGACCAGACTTGAAATGTCTGGGTTTCCAGCAGTTTTATTTATTCTTTCCTAAACAAAAGTGACTGTTCATCACTAATTATACCTTGTGTGTGTCTGTATATATGTAGGTATATTAAAAATGCATGTGTGTTGTTTCTGTCTCTTCTAAAGGTAAAACAGGTCCACAGAAGGTAGAAAGCCAGCAAAGAATTAATCTTGTCAAAACTGGGGAAGATTAAATATGAAACCATGAGGAGGAGATCTAGTCCAAATACCAAATAATAGGAGTGAACAACACAGGTGGAAAGAGAGGATACAAGAGTAATATATTTACATTAAAGAATCAGAGTTTTCTCCTCCTCAGCACATCTAATAGCTTTTCCTCCATTCATGTACCTGCTGAGGGTGGAAGTTTGGGGCTGTCTGACTGAGGGAAAGGTGTCAGGAGGGAAACGTCTCTCAAATATCCCACACATAAAAAGTGCAAGAACCACTTTGTTAAAGCTTTGGTTCTTCAGTGTGTGCTGTTTGGTAGACAGGGGCTATACACGACATCTCATAGTGGCAGAAAGCAAATTCAAAAATAGGAATACTTTTAATACTGATTTGATCTGGCTGTGGAGGAGACATTGCTTGGATTCATGCTGAGCATCTCTGATGTTTTTTGTCTTTCATGCCAGCTCTATGTGGCCACTGAAGCCATCCTCATCGCATTGGTGGGTGCAACTCCTCCCTACCACTGGGATCTCCAAGGGCTCTCAGCTAATCAGAGCCATGGCAACCATTCAGTGAGCGAGCAGGGAGCTTTTGGGGAATGGCTTCTGACTGCCAACGGCAGCGAGGTGCGTAAGCACGTACACTTCGGCAGCAGCTTCACATCCATAGTCTCTGAGGTAAGTCTGAGATGTGTTTTGCAGCCTCGGGTGTGAGTAGTAAATCTTACTGAGATGGTTTTGGGGGTCTCCTTGTACTGCTTTTTTCTTCCATACTTATGCATGTTTTGATTAGCAAATGAAACGTGCTACTTCCAGTTAGAGTCCAGGTAATGTGTTCGTGTCTTTACTGGCAACACAAGCTAGCTTTATATTGCTATGCAGCTATGTTCTGCTCCAAAACTTCCCACCTTTTCTGTGTGGAGGTTACATATTGCATCCTGCAGCCTGGTTCCACATTTGAGGTGGAATCATGATATTCATTTTACTAATTTGCCCAAAATCCTTTGTGGACTCTGAGCTCTTTCTGGCCATCCCCTTGCTGAGCTCCAGTGCATGTAGTGCATCCATCATACAGTTAGCAAGCAGTGGAGGAACTGGAGAGGAAGTGGCTCCTGCAGTTTTTGTGGCTCCACATGCAAGAACAATGGCAGTGGGGAGTCAGGTGGACAAAGAGCTCCCTCACATTCTATTCCAAAACAAGCTTTGGCTTTGTTGGCACAACCTCTGTGTTTTTTAAGTGATCACTTTCATGGTCTAGCCACAATCCCTACAGGAATGATTCCAGACTCTGCATTGATGTGTGCAACACCTGCCCTTCCTGGGTCTGTCAGTATCTGTTAATGTCAAATCTCTCTTCACAAGAGCCCTGAGTGCATTAGTTGCAAGGCTTGAATGTAGACCTGAGCTGTGGAGTCAAGTGTAGTACCATTTGATAGTTTGTGGCTATTGTCCTGAGGTATTAATGCTATCCAAATTGCTCCTGTAAAGCAGTTTATTGGTTAGGAGCATATTAATAAAAATGGCCAGCTTTGGAATAGTACCAAGCCTTTGTGTACAAAAGGCATTGCTTCTTATTCTTGCAGTAAAGAGGATATGAGTACTTATGATACCATTTAAATTAAAATTTTAATGGATGGTGGATTTCTTAAGCATTATTTAAAACTCAGTAAAGCTTTTGAATTTTCTCTGGGGTTTTTCTTTTTTATTTTTTTTAACTTGCTCAAGAATCTTTTACTGTCTTAAACGTCACAAGTCAGACATGCTTGTAGAGCATGACACAGATGTTTTACAGATCTTTATACATTTTGGTTGTATAAATAAGAAATACAGATAAAGAACAAAGCCCATTTGAGCAATAAAAAATCCTAAAAAAACTCCCCAACCAAAACAAACAAAAAATCCCAAACCCAAGGCAGCTTGTGTAGTCTGCTTTCTAATTCTTTAGCGTATGTTTCAGCAGAGGCCCATTTGAATAAAATATTTGTACCTCTTGTCTTTCCCTCCATTAAAGTACAGTTTTTATTAATTAGTTAGCTGAATATTTGGTATATTTGGAGGTTATGTGCTAAGCACAAACATTTTGAGGGAGAACATACATATCTGGAAAATATTTCACCACTAATTCATTATTAATCTAATTTCATGATTGATTGTAAAGAAGTTTTTTCCTACATTTAATGAGGGTGTGTCGATGCTTAACCTTGTGGCATCACTGATAACATGACCATTACAAATTTACTCTGAAAAATAATCTGAAATAAAAAGCTTGAATTGTGAATAAGCATATACGTAGCATGTTTTTATTTAGAAGAGAAAAGCATTCTGCTCTCTAAAGGGCTTAGACATTGAGATAAGTATTTTTTTTTAAAAAAGGAAAATTTGCTTTGCAACCAAATTATCCCTTAATCCCTGAATGATTCAGAAAGCGTCTCATGCAACAATTTTCATGTTGCCAGCTTTTTAAATTTTTATACCAAAAGTTAGGGCGTGATTCTTGCAATTGTTATAAAACAAACTGACCATGTTATTCCAGGATAAAATTAATCTCATATGCAATCGTTTTACAAATGCATTTTTCTGGCAATTGTTTTTGAAGTCTGCAGAAGCTTCAAAAGCTGATTTATGGTTTCAGTTGAATTTTGTCAGTCTTGTTTGGTTTCAGTTGAATTTTGTCAGTCTTGTTACTTTATGGATGCATTTCCTACTATTATCCGTAACTACCTTCTTGTTAAAGTAACAACTCAAAATGAAGCAGATATAGAAAGTAAGCAAGTTATTTTCTTGGAGCTTATGAATGATGTTTTGTTAGCATCCTAATCTTTGTGAGGTTTAATTGCATGGCTCTGTTCTCATGATGAGGTAGTTTATAACTGAGCTTTGAAATAATATAAGCTTTGCTAGAGAGGATATTTAATGAGATTTTGGTAGAGGAAGAGGAGATTATGAGGAGAAGATTAGAGAGTTATTGCAGGGATAATGACATAATCACCAGCTTACCAGCACAGGAAGAAGAGTTGGTTGTCACTAAAAGGAAACATTATCTCAAGGTGCAAGAGGAATAGTAAAAGAAAAGAACAGAAGATGTGGAGTGTTTTGAATACAAAAGGAAATAACTTGTGAACATTGAGAGCTTGGCGTATTTTCGTTCTGCACTTCTGTGGGGCAAAGAATTTTGTCAGGTTCAATTTGAGACATTAAGTCTGTAAGAATCAAACATTCCAAGATGTATTTGTATTGGATTTGAAGAACTGGAAACTATGAAGTGCACTGTAAACAAGATGGGTGTGTACAGAAAACCGGACTAGCCTGTCTAATGCTACCAAACTATTGCTCAGGGACAAGAGAGTTCATAAAGAGGAGCATGTGCAGGAGTATCTTAGGACATAAACCACAACTACTTTTTCACAATGTGTGTTCTACACACTGCAATGACACATGTCAATAGGTAGAGCTGAATCAATTTAGGTAAACCATTTTATGTAAAAGAAGGGATAGTGGGAGAAAGCTGCAAAAATTAGAATGTTGTGAGGAATCTGTTCTTGATTTCAGAACCAAAGACTGCATTTGATTTGGGAGAACTGTGATTGTTAGTCTCCTACGAGAAGTTTGGGAGACAGCAGTGGGGACTGGTGATTTACTGAATATGATGCTTAGGAGATTTATGAAGAGTTTGATCTTCTTTAAAGTTTGTAACATCCCCTCCAGCTATTAGCTGTTGGTGAACTGTTTGGATTCTGATTAATTTGCCTTTTTGCTGGTTTGTTGTTTCTGTTTTTTTCCTTCCCCCTCCATCCAGTGGTTTTTAATTGGCAATACATCCTACAAAGTCAGTGCTGCCAGTTCTTTCTACTTCAGTGGTGTGTTTGTTGGAGCCATCTCCTTTGGGCAGCTGTCCGATCGCTTCGGGAGGAAGAAAGTCTATCTCACAGGTAACCCCTAGACAAAATGAATGACATGAAGGTGTCGTGTCCCTGAAGATCAGTGGCAGCAGCCCATTTTCTGCTGAGAGCTTGATATGCAGCTGTAAATTGTGTGCTGTAATTTTGTTTGTTTTGGCATTCCAATATGCTTGTGCCATAGAAGTTCAGATGACAAATCAATATTTCACTGTTAAGTCACCATTTGAATTTCTACAAGGTGCTCTGGGTTTGTGAGTCACACCATAAAATGCTTTCATTCATGCAATGTTGTGCTCGTGGGATCTCTGCAAGTTGCAGTTGGTATTTTTAGTAGTTTTGTAACAGCATTCTTACCTGTATAACCTGTTAGGAATTTGTTGCATGTTTTATCCCGTCTGCATGATTTAATTTTTATGTATTTGTGAGCCTTGTACTGTTTTGAAGCTCATAAGCTTTCTAACAGTCCCTGGATCAAGCAACATTTGAAACTGCATGTTTTGTGTATGTATAAAATTGTGTGTCGATGCATGAGCATGTAGAGTTTAAAAGAAATGTTTTATGCTTTTTGTTTTTCCTTGAAGGAGCAGCACTCATTTTAAGCACAAAAAGGTGGGCCTGCTCTGCATGCAAACCCATCATGTATTGTCCCCTGGCGATGTTTCTCTTCTCTGGTTTCTATACACTGCTCTCTAAAAAATGAGGAGAGATATTTGGTCATATATTTAACCTGTGGCTTCTATATCATGGATAAATATAAAGCCGTCTTTAACAGTAGTCAGACAATGGTTCTGACTGTATAAAAAAACTGACTGCTATGAACTGAATTTAAAGGTTCAAACTGCAAACTGTGTATCAGAAAACCACTCCTGTGTCCCCTCCTTTTTGATATTGACTCTAGATATTTAAATTTCTTTCCAAACCTGTGGTGGTGGTGTTTACTATGATGGCTTAAGACAGATGCCAGTGGGCATCAAGTAAAGATACCAGTAAGTGCTTCTGTTTCTTTAGGAGCCCTTCTAAAATGATACTTTTTGCTTTATTTTCCAGGTTTTGCCCTTGACATCTTGTTTGCCATTGCAAACGGATTCTCACCCTCATATGAATTCTTTGCTGTTTCCCGATTCTTGGTAGGGATGATGAATGGTGGGATGTCACTGGTAGCCTTTGTTCTACTGAATGAGTGTGTGGGTACAGCCTACTGGGCATTAGCAGGTAAACTGCCTTTATTGTCAGAATTCATAGATTTCAATCTCACACACCACTTGAGGCACACAAAGCAGTTGCAAATTTAGCTCCACTTGAGCATATCTGCGATCACAGCCTTTGAACTCTGCTTGTTTAATATGAACCTTGGACAAGCAGGGTAGATGACTTGGGGCCATTCAGATCTCTGGATCACTCTTAATTGACAAAGACCCAGCTGAAACATCTCCCATGAATGTTACCAGCTAAATACTCATCCAAGGTTTGTCACAAATGAGCTCTACTAATCAGAATGTTGGACTCTGCTAAACAGAGCCAAGTGTTTGTATGCTAAATATAAATTCTTTCCTTCCTGTCAGTTCTTAAAATGAAATCAAAAGGGTTTTTATATCATAGGAGGATGAGAAAACTGTTGATTCTATGTTATTAAAAAAAGTTGTACCATGTAGTAATTATCCTTGGAATTTAGAACATAAGACACCCTTAACTGTCTTCATTGCTAGTGTTGGACCTGTCCTTCAGATATGTGTGTAACCTGTACTGCTACTGATGCCTTGTGAAGGCTGACCTAGAACAGAGGCTAGCTGGAGTTAAAGAATAAAGTAGGTATTTATTAAAAGGCCTCAATGGATCCACTTTGGGCAGTACAAGAACCCAGCCAGGGCTACACCCAAGATGAACCAAAATGGTCACAAAAATGGACAGCTGGTCAGAGGATCTCACACTTTTACAAGTTCTGGTTCATTTGCATATTGGAGTTAATTGTCCGACTATAGCTTTAGGTTATAAGTCCCATCCTTCTTTCTCTCTTCAGTGCACCGTTGTTTATGCTCTTGGGCCTGAAATTTGGATTGGTGGTCCTCAGTCCCAAACTAGAAAAGGAATTGTTTTGTCTAGCTATTCTGTGAAGAGAGCTTACCATCCCTTTATATGAAGTTCAGAACTACACACTAAAGCAGTACAGAATCTGAAAAATATGAAAGCTAAAACCTAAGGCATCACTAGAGCTCCAGGGCCTGACTTACAAAACCCAAGAAGTGCTATGCTGAGCCTGTTTTAAAACAGGGTGTCTTATAAATCATGAAAGCTATAAATGAATACTACATATTCCTAAAACTACCAGTTTTTCAATGTTTTGTAGTATTTATTCTTGCACATAGAAAGGTACATACTTACGCTGCATACATACACATATTTATATTTGGAATTATAAGACTTCATTGTTCACAGGGCTTTGTTGGGTGTGGGGGATGTAGAAGGGGCTTTTATTGATCTTTGCAATTAGATGTAATACTTCTGCTCTGCATGAATGAAGGACAGGGTGTTCTTTGGTCAAAGAGCTGTGGTTCTGCCTGACTTGCTGAATGAATTTTTGCTAGTGAAGAGGTAGTTCTTGTCTGATCCCATTTGTTGAGATTTACTAATGTTTCTTACAGAAGTGATAATGTTTTGTTTTATTTTTAATTGTGTGTTAGGTTCTATTGGTGGCTTGTTCTTTGCTGTTGGAATTGCCCAGTATGCTTTATTAGGGTATTTCATTCGTTCCTGGAGGACTCTGGCTGTTGTGGTTAATCTGGAAGGAACAGTCGTCTTTCTCCTCTCTCTGTAAGTTGTTCAAACTGAGTTTCATAAGGAAAGGTTTCAAAAAAAAAAACAAAAAAACCAAAAACAAAAACAAAACAAACAATCAAACAGAGTACCCAAACTATTAAGTCAAGCTGCCTTTCTAGGATGGCATGAAATGGTGTAAATAAGGTATTTCTCTCTCAACTTGTACACACCCCCTCCCCCCAGCATGGTCTGTGGTTTCTTCAAATAGTAGTGCTGCAATATCTGAGCCTGTAAGTCTGCACTGTACTGTGTGTGCAGTATTACTGTACCTGGGAACAGTGTCCAGGGTGGAAGAGAAGCACATCCTGTTCTTTAGCTGGTGCATGTAGGTGACCTAAACTGGTGTGCTGCGAGGCACTATAAATACATGTTAAAAGATACAGAAATGGTTTCATATATATGTGATAACATGATGCTTCTCCTGTGTTTAGGGGGAGCAGCATCAAAATTGCTTGCCTGTCCAGTCTTAAAAGTGACATGCAAAAGAAAAAATGGGCAGCTCCCTTTAATTTTTCAAATGTGATCTTTCTGGAAATAGTAGGGGCTTTGTGAATTGCAGCACCGAAAGCTCTGTGATACAGTGTGGCCTTCTTTTCTTACATGCTTTCTGACATCTAAATCTCAGTAACTAAAGAGTGAAATTACTTTAGCTGCTGTTTAAACTAGAGGTCTTTTCCTTTCCAATATCTATTGCACTTCAGTAACTCTTTGAATAAAGCTTTTGCTCCTCAAAAAATCCACACAACCCTTTCAAAGGAAGCATCAGAACTCGGGGAAGGTCCTTGAGGCTGTTCATGAAGTGAAAGGCAGAGATGACCCTTTGGATATTTCAAAACCTTGTGGTGATAGGCACCCTTGGGAAAAAAAAATTAACTTTCAGATTGATAGGTACAACTTTTTGAAGTGAGTTATGCTTGTGACTTCAGAGCTGTGCTCAGAAGCCTATCTTTCCTGTAAGAAAAGGTTTTTTTAATAAATTCCAGATTTCACACTGCCTCCTGCCACATTGCTTAAAAATTACTCAATGTAGAAAATACTTTCAGATTTTTATCCTGGAGAAGAAAATATGTTGTTTCTAAGCTTTTTTTTTTGGTGAAAACACAGAATCACATTCTTTTAAACTTGGAGGAAAAATACAATTTTTGGTCTGAGGCAAAAGTCTTAAAAAGCTTCTGGTCAAAGGCTAAAGTTTAAATTAGTTCTGGAAGCCTGAAAATAATAGAAGATGTGTGTAGTAGACATTGTTGGAGTTACAGACCTGTCAAGTGAAGAGTGCACATGAGGGACATGACCTTTGTACAGTTTCTGCTGCCTTGTCTGCGGGACAGAATTTGGCAAAAAGCTGAAAACTGGGAAGTGGAATTAGTCTTATGGAAAATGAGAAATGCAGTTAGTGGGTCTTACAGAAGCATCCTGTGTTACTTGTAGTAATGCATGCCTCCTTAATTCTGAATTCTCCAAAAACAGGATCCTAGTCATACTGTAACATGTAATGTTGTTCTTTCTGTGCATGCATATATGTACCCACGCCATGTAATTTCTTGGTATCTAAATTATGTATGGCTTATGTTTCCTTTCAGCATGCTTTGTTTCTGTTTCACTACATGAATTTTATACCTGAAGGGTTGTTTAAAAACTCTTTATTATACTGAAGTGCATTTCAGCCTTATTCCTTTAGACAAATTCAGCCTCATAGAGAAGAAAACCCCTAAAGGTGTCTGTGTGTGTGTGTGTGTTTCAGATTCATTCCCGAGTCCCCCCGCTGGCTCTATTCCCAGGGCCGACTGAACGAGGCAGAAGATGCCCTCTACCTCATTGCAAAGAGGAACCGCAAGCAGAAATGCACTTTTTCATTAAAACTCCCAGCAGAGAGGAGCTCCAGAGAGGCTGGCAGCTTTCTGGACCTGTTCCGATACAGGATTCTCCTGGGACGCACCTTGATCATGATGTTCACCTGGTACTACTGGAAATACTTTGTAGGCCCAGCTGTCCTACTGCGACCTCTTTAGGTCTTTGAGAGAATGTGGTGCTGAGAATTGCCTTGTCCTACGGATTGTTAGGGACACTGTACCTAAAAAGGATCCTTTATAGTATTTAAGTATCTATTGCAGTATTTCCTTAGTGCATTTCTAGCACAAAGCCACTTTTACAGTCCAGTTCTGAGGTGTTTTATCTCTCTTTTATCTCTGCATTTCTGTCTTGTGTTTTGGGTCTCAAAATAGTTGAGAACTACCCCTTCTGTTCTGACCCACAAGGATGCTGAGATTAGTCAGAGTGTCCTCCTCTTAGGCCCAGAGCTGTCAGTATCTCTTCACATGGATTATTCCTTGTTTTATGTGTAAGGAGCCCATTAGCAGGGTTGGCCTACCTTGTCTAATGAGTAGACATCATAGGCAACAGTTCTTAAGAGAAAGTGCTTGCTGTTGCTGCAGTGAGGTGCAGGAGCCCGTGATGCTCCCTCCAGTTACTAGCAGAAATTTAACTCCAAAAGTGCCTGGTTTTTTTTCAGATCTCTCACTAGCCCTGAGGTCTTTTGCTGCTTCTTTAAAATAACCTTATGTTTGACATAGTATGCAGGTCCTTGGGCATGACTGCTCCTCACTGTGCTTTTATAATGCACATATTTGGGAAAGATGTATAAATTAAGAATAAAACAAATGGTTTTGTCAGCATACAGCACTGAGCCATTTTCATGTTGCTTTTCCAAGTGCTTACTGCAGAATAAATAGTTGATTATTCTGTTATTTAAATGAGAATTGCTGATTTGCTGCAGAATGAATTTGTGACCAGTTTCTTTCCTCTCTGTAAAGACAACTCTCTTTACAGGGGTTAACATGACAGTAGGGTTACAAAAGAAAAGTTAAACAGAATTGAAGAATGAATGAGTAAAACTGGACCAAAGTGTAGAAATTAAAAGAAGTTTGAACTGCTTGAGAAATTTGGTTTACACACAATTGGAAAAAGTGTAGATGAACATGTAACCTGATAAAAACAAAAGGGACAAAGACATTTCTGAAGTTAAATAATACAGTCATGATTGGTTTTAACTTTATACTGGTTTATGCACTTTGTAAGTGTAATCTTGAGTTTTAGTTGAAGAATGAATGAGTAAAACTGGACCAGAGTGTAGAAATTAAAAGAAGGTTGAAGTGTTGTTTGAACTGCTTGAGAAATTTGGTTTACACACAATTGGAAAAAACAAAAGGGACAAAGACATTTGTGAAGTTAAATAATACAGTCATGATTGTTTTTAACTTTATACTGGTTTATGCACTTTGTAAGTGTAATCTTGAGTTTTACCCAGTAGTAAGTCAGGAATTGGGTCTTTGCTGGGACAGAATGGTTTACTTCCATCCTACACTTACAGAGAAACATTTTAGACCTATCTGCTGAAACACTAGATATAGTTGATAGTGTATTATGCCAGACCAGTGCTTCGATTTGGCAGACAAAGTGTCAGCTCTGATTTCACTTCTTTTTTTCCTCCTGTCTTTTGCAGGTTTGTGTGCAGCTTGGTTTACTATGGTCTTACCCTTAATGTGGGTGACTTAGGCGGAAGTATTTATGCCAATTTAGCCCTGTCAGGCTTGATAGAAATCCCAGCGTACCCAATCTGTATTTACTTGATTAACCAAAAATGGTAAGTATGGAATTTATTAACCCAATACAGGATTTCTAAACCTAACTTCTCTCAAAGATAGGTTTTCTGTGTATCACACCTCCTAGCTTGTATCCGTTGTGTGGGGCTTCCTGCTTCGATGTGAAAGTGTCATTGATTTATGTCTGTTTCAAATAGCAGTTTAACTTGTTTTCAGTCGCTCACCTCACGGTGAGCCATCCCTGTGGCTTGGGTGGGGTTGATGTAGCTCGGAGGAACCTGCGCTGCCTGCCAGCTAACACTAGATAGCGTCCTTCCCACCGCTGCCCCGTGATCCCGTCCTCGCTGCTGGGACAGAGCTATCCCGCCTCCACTCTGCTCGGGCTGTCCTGTGCTCTCGTGCAATAGCAGTACCTCTGTGAGCTACTGTGAGAGCAGAGCAGATATTCTGCCTTTTCCTGAACCACTCTGGACAACGTCTCTCAGTTTTTGTAGAGTTTCCTCCCAGTCTCTGCTCTGTGTCTCCTGAGGAAGTTTACAAATGTCACATACAGCAGGAAGCAGCCCAAATCCTAGAAATTGTCAGTTGCTGTATAAAGTTGGCTCTCATTTTGTTAAGTGTGCAGCAGAAGCTTGTTTAAAAATGGTGTGAGAGGAAGTGTCGGTGAAAGATGGTATTCAGAATTCCCAACTTCAAAGAAAGAGTCAGTGTGAATTCAGAGGATTCATTACTCTGCAACACACAAACCAAAGGCAGAATATAAACCTTTGTTATCTTTGCGTATCAGGTTTGGTCGGAAACGAACGTTGAGTGCATTTCTGTTCCTGGGAGGATTGGCTTGTCTTATTGTCATGTTTCTGCCTAAGAAGAGAGGTAAGTAGTTTTTGTTTCTGAGCTATGTGATATGAACTGGTAAAAGCAGCATCCCACAGCACAACAATTTGATAGCTGCTGGAAGATTAGGCTCATACCACATGTGAGTCTCAGTTTTTGAAGCTGGAGAAGCCAATTCATTAGACAAAAGAATAAGTTTTAACCTTCCTAAGACCCTAGAAAAAACTTCTTAGTAAGGTTTGGATTTGAATTTTTGCCTTTGGATTCTGCCCTTTACCTCTGTTTACATCAGTTGCTCCTTTCCTGTGTTTTTGACATAATACCAATGAATGATATTTCTTGTGGTATCTCCAATAGCTAGATGATAGGTTAGTGTAAGTAGTACCCATGCAACTTGGATATATCTCTCCAAGTGGAAGATCAGTGTCAGAAGATCTGAAGAACTGAGTGATGGAGCAAGTTTCCATCTTTGCCACACTGCTCAGTAATATTCAAAAGTAGTGTACTTGTGGTAATAATAATGTGGCCACATAACTTACAGCTCAGGAGAGCATCCTGATAAGCTTCTGAATTGGGAAGTCTTTAAGAAATGTGAAATTAAACATCTTTTGTGTGAAGATGCACTAATGTTAATTTTGAGATTACATAGCAATTTTTCTTTTTAAGACCAGATAGATAAATTCACCTTGCTCGTAAGATCTATGGATGTATATTTCCTTTCATAAAGCAACAGAATGTTTCAAACACTTGACGAGTGATTCAAGAAATCAAACCTCTATGACGGAGTACAGAATTTGCTCTAGATGCCAATAGGTCTAATAGGTAAAGCTTTTTTAAAGGGATGCAACTCAGGTTTTCAGAATTATTCCAGGTGATTGAGCATGGACACTTGGAAATATTCTGGTTTCGCTGGTATCAGTAACCAAGTATTTTTTTCATGTCATTCCAAACACAAGATGTGAAAAGAGAGGACAGAACTGTGAGACCCCAGGAAATCAGCTGTGTACTGAACTGCCCAAGTCAGGCAAGGGTGACATGCCTTGGGAAGTGAAAGGGGCTCTCTGGCCAGAAGCAAGAACCTGTCTTCACTGAGCATAAGCTCTCATTTGCCTGTTATAAGCAAATAAGCACTGGTTGTTCTGACAGACTAAGATGGATGGGAAGTTTAGTGTGATTCTTCACAGGATCTTCCTTTTGAAGTAATATTGTTAGAAGAATATTATCATACTATAGAAATGACAATAAATAGGACTCTTGTTAAAAAAAAAATGTGCTCACTTTTGGAAAATGTATCTGTTACACTCTTCTTCAACTTTCTGATAGAACTAATTTGGCATTTAATTAGTGGTAGACCAAAAATACTGACTTGTAGCTTCAGCTTTTAGATTCTTCACTAGATTCCTTTTCACACCATACTGTTGTGTGATTGAAATTATTAGAGATGTGTTGGAGTGCTCAAAAGCCTTACATTTTCTCTCTCAGATACTGGAGTGTTTGCAGTGGTGAATAGTCGCTCTCTGTCTTTGCTGGGAAAACTGACAATCAGTGCTGCTTTTAATATTGTCTACATCTACACATCAGAACTTTATCCCACAGTCATAAGGTAACACAAGTTAATTTTAAGTCTTCATTTTTCTGGTTCTCTTACATGATCATCCTTTATTTCTCTTAATTTTTTTCTATTAAAATCAAATTAAAAATGATATTTTCAGTTACATATAATGGTTAGATGTCGTTTTACATCTGAAATTTCTTCCCTTACCATCTTCTCACTCCCTCTTCCATCAGGTTTCCAGTGTTCTCTTCAAATTAACTGTATTTTTATGTAACAGTAAAATAGACCCTTAGCTGCTTGTCCTGCTTACAACTCCCCTTCTACTCATGAGGATAACTGTAGCACTGCAGATATTTCTTTTAATGAGTGCTTTGTAAAACCAGAGAACTCTGTCATCATACATGCTTAACCAGGAACATTGAAGATGGCTGGTCAATAAACTTGGTAAAAGTAACACGTTGCTTCACAGGCAGTGTGTGAGCAACAGTAGGGGCAAAAGCACCCCCTGCTTGTGCTGGCAGAGAAGGCAGAAACTTGTGCTATAGGGGTGCATATGGTGTTCAGCCCCCAGTGAAACTATACTGTGGTGTTTTTCATGAGTGGGTAAATCTGCTGGTAAGTAGGATTTGAATAAATGAATTCAGCCAGGGTTTCAGATGGAGGCAAGATGCATTAACTGAAATCACACTTGTTTTGCATATGTGTGTATGTAAAAATTCTGAATGTAAAGGGGATTTTTGCTTTGTTTTAATCACAAAAAACATGTTTTATTCCTGTCTTGGGATGCTTTCAGTTACATTTGACTTTTCTTTGCCAGTTAATGTGCTCAGGGTCACGACTGATGAGTCTTTTTCCTTGCTCAATAACACTTTGCAAAAGATTAATTATTTTTGGTTTTTTTCATAGGAATGTTGGAATGGGTGCCTGCTCCATGTTTTCCCGTGTTGGTGGAATCATTGCGCCTTTTGTCCCTTCATTGGTTTGTCTGAACTTCTATTGCATATATTTTTGTTTTGTGGTTCTGGTGTATCAGAGGCTTACAGAGATGGGAATGTTTGGGATAAATTTCATTTATAAATTAAGATGCATAAATTGCCTATCTTAACAGTATCATGGTAGGCCAAAGGCATTGTAGTATCTTCTGTGTGATTAGACAAAACCTCAGCATTATTTAATTTAAAAGGTATTTTAGCTCTGTAGGGATTTTGGGGCCCATCTAGTGGACCTTAAATTATAATAATTTCAAATCACCAAGATGGTGATACCAAATTTTAAACCCTGCACAAGCAATAGCAAAAGACCCATGTGGCTAAAAGAACTACTGCATCAAAATTGAGCATATGAGCTCAATAACTCATATTTTTGAGAAAAAATTAATTTTGCTGTCAGTGCACTTCATTAAATATCCGTGGGTTATAAATATCAGCAAAGCAGTTTGTCTTTTAATAAATGAAGGTGATGTGGAGATCTCATATACCCTCAAGGCAAAGAAAGATTCTAAAGAACAAAACATGGGGTTGATACCATTACTTTCCTGTGCTTAGTGTGTATGTGTATGCAGGTAAAAAGTGTGCCAGTTTTTCCCAGCTGTTTGCTGAGGCCCAGTTACAATTCCTTTAATGTGACAGATTTCATCTCAGGTAATTTTCCTCTCTGCCATTTGCTATTTTACATGTGAGGCAGAAGGTTAGCAAAAGGGCAGGTGAGCACAGGGAGCCTTTTAATCTGTGGAACGAAGCACTGGGCAGGTGGGAGCGTGAGCACCTCTGGGGAGCAACAGGCAAAGCCAAGACTGCTGCCAGTCTGCCAGGTGGATTTAATAGGCAGCTTTTATGTAGCAGTTGGGGCATTCATTATAATGTGTCTGCCAGAGATTTGATACTGCATGAGACACAAATCTTGGATCATAATGTTTGAGGGGGTTCCATGAAAATGAAAGTAGTTCTGGTTAAATAACAAATGAACCCTGATTTGAGAAAATAATCAATAATTTTTGTGTTTTATAATTTATTCTAGTATTTTAAAGAATTTTCAATGTCTTTTGTTTGGAGATCTCATAATAGTAAAAATAGGATAAGTTAACTGCTGAGATAAGAGATGAAATGTTGGTCTTTCATTTGATCACAGCCTGTTACTTTCATCAATTTAGAATTGCTCTCTACAATGTGAGTTTTTGAAACAAACAGCTAAACTTTTTCTCTGTTTTAAAACAAGCCTTCTTTACTGTGAAAACAGGGACAGGCATCAGAAGAGGAGTAAACATTGCTTGGGCTGCCACAGGTGATGCCAGGAATGCCAAAGCCCAGTTGAAGCTAAAACTAGCAAGGGCCATAAATAGGGATTCTGTCAGCTAAAGGAAATACACTTGTTGATGAATGGGAGGGGCATCCTGTTGGTGGGTGACATGGAATAAGCTGAAATACTTGTGCTTCAGTCTTGAGAGACAAAGCTTCTCTCCAGTACTCTGCCTGTCAGCGCAGTTGAGGAAGCAGAAGGCCAGCAAACAGTAGGAGGAGCAATAGGTTCAAGAACACTTACAGCTGAAAGCTTTCCATTCCATGGGGTGAGATTCCCTAAGAGTGATTGTGATAGATGGAGTAAGTGTTCATCGTCTGTGATAAACCACTGCTGTGGTGAAGGATCACTGGTAGCTGTGGGAGGAAAAAGGCTCATCCTGTGTGTGTCTTCAATATCAGAAAGTGGAACCCAGGTATTACAGGCTGAGCACCTCAGACTCTGTGGGAGGATTGAGACATGACCTCTCGGAATCTGTTTATAAGCATGTCAAGGCAAGGAAGGTAATCTGGATCAGTGAACATGGATTTATTAAGGACAATTCCTTCTCAGCCAGCTTAATTTGATAGTCAGCCATTTTATCACGGAAGGCAATATGGATGAGGAAAGGGAGGAGAGCAGGGAAGGCTTTTGACACTACCCCACACTGTTAGCATGTTTATCACAAGTTTTGGCTTGGGGATTACATAAGAAATTTGGAAAATAATGTTTTTGAGAGGCTTAATGCAGCCTGGAACAATCTACTTGGAGAGGAAATCTCCATCCTTGGAGATTTTTCACTATTTGATTATGTGAAGCTGTGATTGAGCTTATCTAATTGACGCTATAATTGTGCTTAGAGTAGGTGGTTGGTCTAGATGACCTCAAGAGATCTCCAAGGAGCATGTCTTTGTTTCTGAGGTATCTATTCCCTTCTACAAAGGGACGTTGCATGTGTTAAAAAGTACATATGTTAGAGGCAAGAATTGAGTTCAAATTCAGCAGGTGTTTCTTTTAAAGTTCACGACCAAATCTGTGGGGCTCCAATAGTATTGACAAGATACAATTGACAATACTGGTAAAAAACCCAACCAAACAAACAAAAAAAACCACAGCAGAAGGACTGGTGACTTTTGTTCTAAATAGGGGCGCAAACACTGCTAAAGGGAATGGTTGTAAAGGCTAGGTCTTTTAATATGCAACGTGAACTGCAAGGAACCAATCTCAGCCTAACTCTGTTATTTTTTCCAGAAATCTGTACAGTGGTCTCTGCCTTACATTGTGTTTGGAGCAACTGGTCTGTTGTCTGGGCTCTTAAGCTTGTTGTTGCCAGAGACCTTAAACAGTCCTTTGCTAGAAACTATTTCAGACCTGCAAGTGTGCTCCTACTGGAGGCTGGGTGATGAAGCCATGTCACTGCAAGCCCTAGATGGCTCACAGGTATACTAATTTTTTTTCCTAGTACTTTCCTGTTATGTTTATTTCAGCTGTCAGCTTGAATCTGCCACTCTAAAGAGATTAGGGTAGTGATTCTTGGCCTGTGGAGGATAGACCCCAAGGAGAAGATAGTGTAGCAGCCCTACCATCATGTCTGAAATGTTTTCTGGAAATGCAGCCTGAAATATAGCTGGATTAATTCATCCCTTCAAGGCCACAAGTTTACAACATTTCCCTTTGGGATGAAGTGATGTCTGTGCGTCTCTACAGTGTGCTTCAGCCAAAGCTGGACACTGAAGCTTGAGAAGCCTTAGATGTTAACAAGACCAGAAGCCTGTTTATGAAAGTTTGCTCTCAAAGGCAGCACACTGCTTCTGACCTGCCCCAGCTATTTTGCAGTGCTGTTTACCAGGTCTGTCCTAGACATGCTCTGAATGGGTTAAAGCCAGACTAACGTCTGAGATCTCTCCCACTATTGACTCTGTGAAATGAGATTCATTGAAAACACTGGAACTACAAAACTCCCCGGTATAAGCATAAATAAATGTGGCAGCAGGATGTTTTTCAATGAGGTTTCCTTGGATTGTGATTTTCAGATCACTTTATTTTGTTAAACTTCTGGACGCCTCTCTGGGTGTCTGTATCTTCCACTCACCTGGAGGTTTTTTGACATGGTTAATTCTCTGTGAATGAAGTGGGATTAGAAGGAAGAAGCTAGAGAGCTGGGAGTGGGTGTTTGAATCTGGGTAAAGTTTTAAAGCTCAAATCCTGGTCCCAAAACTTTAAGTATGGAGGGACTTTCAGAAATAGACTAAGTGATCAGAAGACTTGAATGGAAACTCGTAACAAACAATGTTAGTTGCCCCATTAGGCTGAGATGAGACAGGATCCTTTTAACACCTTTACTTTCATTTGAATAGTTGTTGGTCAAGCACTCTGGCATTCACAGGTAGTCATACTTATTTTCAGAGAAATCACATACTTCTAGAGTTGGGACATTGGCTTCCTATCAGAAGCTTCAATACATTGCCTTGTTTACCAAGTTTAGCTGTAATAGTTCTTGATAGGACAGCACAGTCTATTCACAAAAGCACCCTTGAAGAAAGGCTGAAAAAGGCTGCCCTGTAATCATTAATTTTATACTTTAGCTACTTTACGTGCTTATTTTATAAATATTTTCAACCATACTGAATAATGTGTTATGGCACCACATTCTTGCTGACTACACAAATCCATCATATACATTTACATCAGCTGTTGTTTTGGTAATTACCTGATTATTACGTCTTAATTGTGCAGATGGTTCACCAACGAAAGCAATTTTTGTAAGCAGTGCAGGTGTTCCAGCTTACAGGTGGAAAGTCACATTTTTCATTTCTTCTTTAACCAACTACAGTCAGTATTACCCTTTGAGGTGACAAATATTGTCTGATAGTATTCCAACATATTGGTTAGCTTATGTCAGTCAGTCCTCTCAGGTTTAAATCTTCTTTGCTTGTCCTTCTGTAGGCTTAAAAATCCCAACCTGAACAACCCACAAAGGGGGTGTTGTTCTGAATGGTTTTCAGGAGCATTTTGCCCAGATGGATTAAAATTACTGAATCTGAATGAAAAAGTCATTGGTTCAGGCCTTTACTAATCCTGTAACTTCAGTGAAGTTATATCTGGAATGCATTAGGGATTTATTTTAAAGCTTACAAAGAAAGTGCTGATAAAATGGAAAGCTGTTAAAGATTAACCCTATTTGACAAGGCCATGAGAGGTCTTATGAAGCTGTTGTGAGAAAGATTTAGAATTTATGTGACATACCCTGAATTCCCCCTGTGGAATCCATTGTCCTTTTGTACCATTTTCAAGATAACATGTGTTCTGATTGCCCAGAACGGAGGTTTTGTTCCTGTTAACATACATGAATGTCATATTCAAGTTGGACAGCATCCAGTGATAACCTGACTTTCCTCAAATAGTTTTAGAAGTCTAGGGAAAAAAAAAAAAAGCCTAACATGATTCCCTTTACATCTTCTGACAGGTCGTAGTGCTCAAACTGTTTGAAATTCCTTTGCAGTTAACGCACATTGCTGTAGCAAAGCTCCTCTGAAGAGAGATCTAAAGCTACAGATTTTGCTTGCATGGTACTGTCAGTCATAATTGCACTATTTCCATTTCTCCATTTTTCATACTCTCTCTCACCCTTCTTAGCATATGACTAAACAGGCAGAGGTCTTCGGATGGGTACAAGCATATTGGGGAAAAGAATCCTAAATAATCAAATTAGATGGAGTTTATACTGCCAGGAGAACCTTTTTAACTGGGATCGTTTGTGTCAGTTCATGGAAAAATGCTTCACTGGCCAAATAAAAATCAATTAGCTGTAATAGCTGACTTTATTTTGGGTATGTGGTGTAAATTATATTGTGAAAAGGACTCTGACTGGAGTATGTATGCCTATAATAGGGATTTTACTTTTTGAACATACAGCATGGTAATGATTTTCCCTTTTCCATAACACTTTCATTTAGTATTGCAGGGGGATCTTTTTAATTCAGCTTGCCCAGTGCTATCCAAGGAAATGTATGAATTGTGGATGGTGAAGCTTTACCTAAAGCAGTAATATATGTGTTCTGATCTGTGGTAAGCTACTATGTTTCCAGTAGCTGTCCACAGAGTAGGCACCTTAGACTAAATTTAAGAAAGCTCAGTAGATTACCCCTCTAGCCAGTCTCTCCTGCATATATTCTTTAGCGTACTGGTGGAGCAGAGAAAGTCCATCCACTACAACCCCATGTCTTTTAAAGATACTTTGAAGAACCAAGGGTTTGAATCTGAATTCACATAATGTCTTTTATAAAGTTTTAATACAGTGGTTTGACCTGTGTTTACTTATTTTTTCTTTACCAGCATTCCACAGAAGTGTAATGGTTCGTGCTCTTTATATTGAGACTGATCTAGTGGCTTCAGTCTAACTGACGACTTCATTTTTCCTTCTAGTGTGGAGACAAAGACAGCTCTGCAGGGAGTGGAAGTGAAGATGAGGAGTTCTATGATGCTGATGAAGAGACTCACATGATCAAGTAATGAAAAGAAGAAACACTGGCCTATTTTATGCCTTTTCTTGCCCAGTCAGTCCAGCTGTATGAGAAGCACTGGGGACCTTGCTTGCCAGGCAATGCAGTTGGGCAAGCGCCTGTGTTTTTCCTTACTTGGAGAGGGATTTGAGTGCTGTTCAGACTGATGACATCACTGATGCTCTCCATATGAGGCAGCCATTCCAATTCTTGTGGTTCAGAGTACAGTGCATGGACTGCATTTGAAGCCAGGTGAGACAGCAGGAGTGAGATGATGTATGTCAGAAGCCCAGGGAATAACCTGGGCTTAGAGAGATTTGGACAGATTGTCAGTGCATGTGTTAGTATTTTATTTTCAAGGTGGTGGATTTTATTTTAATACAAATTGGTAAACTTGGAAACAACCACTGTATTTTCCGTAAGGGTGAAAGTGGTCAGTGAATGTGCTGTGTGCTACTCCAATGGGAAAATTTGCTGAAATTGTATGTTAAAATGGCTTTTGCATATTCAGTAGAGGAGAGGCAGCTGCAAACAAAAGGTTTCTCTGTTTGCACACCGGTGCAGAGTTACAGGTGCAGGTGGTTAGTCATGAGCTGGGCTTTCACTTAGTGATAATGGAAGGCTGGGAGGAAGGACTACACAAAAGAGCAGCAACAAAGCCTGTGAACATAAGGAATGTTACTGACTTTTTTTCTTCTTTTCATACACAAAGCTTTTTCTTGGTCTTCTGCATATGTTTGCCACATGTTCCCCACATCTCAGCATGGCTGTTTATAGCTTTGCCAATTTTTACCTTGTCCTCACTTTGCCATAACTGTTGAACTTCTCTGTGGAGTGAAATCTTGCTGTGATTGATATCGTTTCCTGGGTGTGACAGAGGTGAGGTATTTATCACATACCGTGTGTGTGGTGTGATAGACTATATAGCTCACTTTTGTGGGCCTATCTGGGTCTTTATTTCTGGAAAAGGCTTAACTCTGAAGTGGTAAGAGGAACTGTGGGGTGCTGTTATATTTTGGGTGCTATTATCAGGAAGCTGCTAGTGTTTATTTTAAAATCTTGTGTGTAGCTAAGGTTTTCATTTAAAAAGACAGCAAATCTCTTTGGAACTATTTGGTTACTTGATGTTTTTTAACCAGTGCTCACTCAAGCTCTTGGTTACTTGACCTTGTTAGGGAAAACACTTCAGTTTCCAGTTTCACTGAACTTTCTGTAAGTGCTTCAGTAGAGGGATATGGAATCCTGAAATGCGAAACACGAACATGTGGAATGTTCCAGTTACAAAAATGAGGCCTTACAAAGATTCAGTTTTCTTGATGACAATGTCATCTTCATCCTCTAACCTGTGGATTTCTCTTTGTTAAGATTGGTTTCCATAAAATGTTGATCTTCCTATTTTGAGTTCCTAGCAAAGTGGCACACAATGATAGCAAGTACATTTTCAGGCTCATGAGTCATTTTTGCAGATCTTAGAATTAAAAAAGGTGGGTCTAAAAATATTAAAAAGTTGTTTGCTGAATATTTCCTGGTTACAGTGGGAAGTTCCTTTACTCTGCAAGGAAGTGAAAGTAACCAGCATGTAAAGTTTGCAGCTGGCTGCTTGAACTTTGTTCGCTGGCAACTGTGATGCGGAGCAAAGTGCAACTGCCCTGGTTGGTGCAGAGAGCAGCCCAGAATCTGCAGTTTGACATATGCAGCATTCCATGTGGCTCTGAACTTGATCCAGGTGTTGACTGTGAGCAAAGTTGGGAACTTCAGTCCTTATGAACAGTCTATCAGTATTGTTGTGATTTTTGCCTGTATTATTCTTCACTGGAAGAATTCTCACTCGTGGTCTTGACTTTTTTTTTCTCCCCAGACTGTTGAGTAGCTGTTGTAGATGTGGCACTTTTTAACCCACATGGGTAGTCTTTCTGCCTTATTTGGTTCTTCTGTGTATAAGAAAATTTCACCAAATAAGGTACTTGGAAATAAGTGGAAAAGTTGGAGCTATTAAAATAGTTTTAAATTTTTTACTCACACTTTAATTTATGGACAGCTGGGAAAAATGACTTTTTATTGCTGGTGGCAAGCAGCAGTAAGCCTGGCAGTAATAACATGTTGCCAAGAACTAGCAGTTGTTTTTAGGTGTCTGTTGCCTCTGTCCCTCTTTGGGTGTTGGGTGGAATAAGTCAGGAACTGTCATTATCTGCTCCTGGCAACCCTGTGTAATGCCACAAGACCCTCAATAGAATTTTCATTAGCAATAGGATGGTGTAATGGTTCAGATGGAGAAGATTACTTTTGCAGGACCTGAGCTAGATTTTGTGAGTCTTCAAATAAAAATGAAATTTACTTCTCCACTCATGCACTTTTATATCATTGGTATACATATGTAAACTTGCCAAAACAAGAGTGAAGACAAAATTAGCAATTTTTTTGCACAGGAATTGCTGCTCTTTTTTAACCTTAAATCTGTCCCATGATTTAAAGGGAATTTTAAAGGGAATATTTAAAAAGAATCTTCTATTGTTACTTTCCCATATCAGTTAATTCAGAAGGTTTACTTTAAAGGGAATATTTAAAAAGGAATTCTGAATCTTCTATTGTTACTTTCCCATATCAGTTAATTCAGAAGGTTTAGAGGAGAGAATTCCTGCAGGAGGAGCTCAGCAATGTAGCATCAGACTTTGCTGTCCAGCTTTGTGTTCTGAAGTTCAAATCCATTAGGTGCATTAAGGTTCTTTTCTGAGGCTGTTAATTTTTAGTATGAGCTGGCCTTCTGGTACAGAAACCTGTAGGATCACTTTTCTTCTTATCCATGATGTGTAATGCTTTACAATATTGAGATAGTTGTATCTCAGTGTCTGGGTAGTAAGTTTGCCATGAGGAGCTACTGGAAAGTAGAACACTGGGTACATCAGTTGTAGTGCTAGGAGTCTGAGACCAAGGTTCTGTAGTTTACTGCAGTATGATAATCTTCTGCCATATTTCTTGCTAGAGTAGCCAGCACTGTTAGCTGTTTTCATGTTGTGCAGGCACTAAGATACCACTTTTCCCAAGGTGGAGTTTCTTCTCTGGATTCCTTTGGCTGTGTTTTTTTTTTTCTTTTTTCTTTTTTTTTCTTTCTTTCCTTTTTTTTTTTTCCAGGTAGCTCACTTAGATTCCTTTGGCTGTGATTTTTTTTTTCTTTCTTTCTTTTTTTTTTTTTTTCTTTCTTTCTTTTTTTTTTTTCCAGGTAGCTCACTTAGTGGGATTATGCTAGAGAGAAGAGAGCTTTTCCCATGGTGCTGATTAGTCAGGTCTCAGCAGAATCCCAAATGTACCTCACCTACCTGGGGAGCTCACAAGTGATAAGTGAATACACCTAAGAGTGAAGGAGAGTGACAGGTCATGTGAGGCAGCATGGAGGACAATGAGCTAGAAGTGGGAAAAAAAATTGAGGATTCCACTGAACAATTGAGGATTCCACACTTTAGAGCAAGGGTAAGTGAAAACACAAAATAGCAGCTGTTGGGTGGAAATACCCTTTAACACAATACAATTTTAAATTTCTCCTGAAAACAAAGCTAGTGCTCTCTATTTAGCAATTGGAAAAGTGCTGTTCAGAGGCCCCTGATATACCAGACACTTAGCTCTGGGTTAAAGGAGAGCCAGAGATGACTCCGTTCAGGTCAGGATGCTGAGTGAAGAACCTTTCCAGAGACACCTAACTGAGCAGGTTACAGCTTGTTTGTCCATGCTCTAAGGATGTGAGCCACATGCTCATCAGCTCAAAGTGTGCATCTATGCCAGCTTTCCCAAACTGTGTGGATGCTATGAGGTTAGTAGGATATCATTTACAGAATCATGGGGAATGGACTTGATCCATACATTTTACCATGTATTTCACCTAAGCACATAAAAGCAGTTTGCAAGAGAATGTTTTTCTTGTACTCAGGAAAAGGGGAAAGTGAGGAAGTTTTTTTTCTGGAGTGTGTTAAAGGGAACATTGGAGCTAAAGCTCTTGTTCTTGAGTCTTCTGAATGCAGATTGGGTGAGCAGTATTTTGTTTTAGCTGAAGGTTGTGTGCTATTTATCCCTTTTCCCACCCTGAGCGCTTCTCTGGTCATGCTCTTTGGCACAGCTGAATCTGTGACTGCAAACTGTGAGCCTTACAGTAAAGATGTCAGAAAAGCCCAAGAGCAGTGCTGTCATTTGATGGTGGAAGGTAGTCTGGCCTGACGCAATGCTTGTATCAGAAATGTTTATATTCAGCTGTTTACCAAACAGGAGACTTAGGGTATAGCTGTACCTTGAGTCTCATTTGTTGTATCTTACTGTAAGATATGTGGTAGAAGGCACCTGTGTAAGAAAACCTCTGTGGCAGATCTAAATGTGGAATTGGAGGAGAAAAAATTTATACATAATTTTTCCATGCTGTGTATTTTAATGTATTTTAATTTTGTCTAGTCTGTTGTAGCCTTCAGATTTTCCACGTGCTACTGTTATTTAAGGCTACTAGAGCTGGGTAAAGCTTTTACCCAGGTACTCTGAATTTACTGAATTTTCTCATCCTAATTTTGGTACTGTTCTCTGTTTCTGTCATTCTGAAAAATGCTTCTGTATTGCCTAATAGGGAACAGATTTTTTGTTCTAATTTGAAGTGCCTGTTTTGTGAAAGTAGTTGTTAATTTCCTCCGTCAATTTTATATGGGACTGTGTGTAAAGTAGCATCATAGAATTGGATTATATGAGTGCCAAAGACAGTTTTTGCTGGAAAGCAATAGTCCAAAACTAGTTCTAGCTGCCTTTATTTAGACTTTATCCATGCAGAACTGGTCCGCAGAACTGGTATTTACAAGCATCCCTGCAACTATAGGGAAAGAGAATTACCTTTGTTTGCTTGTCTTTCATTGTTTAGTACACTTAAGTAGCTTTTGTTTCTGAGAAACCAAAGAAATTAAATGAAGGATTGAAGTGTTTTTTGTAGAACATTCAGAGTTTATACCATGTAGCCATTACAGAGAAATCTGCAGAACCTGTTTTGATTCTGAG